GGACTTTTGAGTGGAGAAAAAACAAAACAAACAAAAATCAGACCAAAGGCAACAAAGATTAGAATGGGCCAGAGAGAACATCAACAGAAACACCAACTCTACAGGACACACAATGGCACTAAATTAATATCTTCCAATAATCACTCTAAATGTAAAAGGACTGAATGCTCCAATCAAAAGACATAGGGTATCAGAATTGATTAAAAAAAAAAAAAAAACCATTTATATGCTAATTAAAAGAGACTCATTTTAAACCTAAAGACATATGCAGAGTGAATGTAAAGCAATGGAAAACCATCTATCATGGCAATGGACATTAAAAGAAAGCCAGAATAGACATACCTATATCAGACAAACTAGATGTTAAGACAAAGACTGTAACAAGAGATGAGGAAGGGCATTATATAATAATTAAGGGTCTATCTACAAAAAAGATCTAACAGTTGTAAATATCTATGCTGCCAAGTTGGGAACAACCAAATTATAAATCAATCACAAACAGAAAGAAACTCATTGATAAAAATACCATAGTAGTAGGGGACTTTAACACCCAAATTACAACAATGGACAGATCATGTAAACAGAAAATCAACAAGAAAGAAAATAATCGCTTTGACTGATACAATGCACCAGATGGACTTAACAGTTATATTCAGAACATTTCATCCTAAAGTAGCAGAACACACATTCTTTTCCAGTGCACATGTAACATTCTCCAGAAAAGATCACATATTGGGTCACAAATCAGCACTCAGCAAGTACAAAAAGATTTACATCATACCATGCATATTTTTAGACAAAAACATTATGAAACTTGAAATCAACCACAAGAAAAAATATTTGGAAAGACCACAAATATTTGGACATTAAAAAAAAAATAAATCCTACTAAAGAATGAATGGGTTAACGAAGAAAGTAAAAAAGAAATTTAAAAACACATGGGAGCCAATGAAATGAAAACACTATTGTCCAAAACCTTTGGGATTCAACAAAGGCAGTCATAAGAGGAAAGTATATAGCAATCCAGACATTCCTAAATAAGGAAGTAAATTCTTAGATACATAACCTAACCTTATACCTAAAGAAATTGGAAAAACAACAGCAAATAAAGTCCAAAACCAGAAGAAGAGGAAAATAATAAAGATTAGGGCAGAAATCAATGATATCAAAAAAACAAAACAAAACAAAAACAGAACAGATCAATGAAACCAGGAGCCGGTTCTTTGAAAGAATTAACAAAATTGATAAACTCCTTGCCATATTTATTAAAAAGAAAAAGGAATAGGACCAAGTAAATACAATCACGAATGAAAGAGGAGAGATCACAACCGGCTCACAGAAATGAAAACTATAATAAGAGAATACTATGAAAATTATATGCCAACAAACAGGGCAATCTGGAAGATGGACCAATTTCCTAGGAACTCACAAACTACCAAAAATGAAACAGGAAGAAATTCAAACAGCAAAGACATTCAATCAGTAATCAAAAATCTCCCAACAAACAAGGGTCTAAGGGTGGATGGATTCCCAAGGGAATTCTACTAAACATTTAAAGAAGAGATAATACCTATTATTCTGGACCTGTTCCAAAAAATACAAATGGAAGGAAAACTTCCAAACTCATTCTATGAAGCCAGTATTACTTTGATTCCAAAACCAGACAAAGTTCCCACTAAAAAGGGTGTCTGTAAAAGTTACAGACCAATCTCCTTGATGAACATGGATGCAAAAATTCTGAACAAGATACTAACAAGTTGAATCCAACAATGCATTGAAAGAATTATTCACCATTATCAAGTGGGATATATTCCTGGGCTGCAGGGCTGGTTCAATATTCGCAAATCAACATCATAACACCACATTAATAAAGGATAAGAACCATAAGATCCTCTCAATTGATGCAGAAAAAGCATTTGACAAAATACAGCATCCTTTCTTGATAAAAATCCTCCAGAGAGTAGGGATAGAAGGAACATAATGCAATATAATAAAGGCCACATATGAAAGACCCACAGCTAGTATCAATCTCAATGGGGAAAAACTGACAGCTTTTCCCCTAAGGTCAGGAACATGAGAGGGATGTACACTCTCACCACTGTTGTTCAACATAGTAATGGAAGTCCTAGCCTCAGCAATCAGACAACACAAATGAAAGGCATCCAAAATGGCAAGAAAGAAGTCAAACTTTCACTCTTTGCAGATGACATGATACACTCTCTATGTGGAAAACTCAAAAAACTCCACCAAAATACTGCTAGAACTGATACATGAATTTGGCAAAGTCACAGGATATAAAATCAATGTAGGGGCGCTTGGGTGACTCGGTCAGTTGGGCGGCCGACTACAGCTCAGGTCATGATCTCGTGGTCTGTGAGTTCGAGCCCCACATTCGGCTCTGTGCTGACAACTCAGAGCCTGAAGCCTGCTTCCAATTCTGTGTCTCTCTCTCTGCCCCTTCCCTGCTTGCTCTGTCTCTCTCTCTCTCTCTCAAAAATAATAAGCATTAAAAAATTTTTTTTAGTAAAATAAAATTAACATAAAGAAATCGATTGAATTTCTATACACCGATAATGAAGCAGAAGAAAATGAAGGGCTCAATCCCATTTACAATTATAGCAAAACCATAAAATACATAGGAATAAACCCAACCAAAGAAGCAAAAGATCTGTCCACTGAAAACTACAGAATGTTTATGCAAGAAATTGAAGAAAACTGAAGAAATGGAGAAACATTCCAAGCTCATGGACTGGAAGAACAAATACTGTAAAAATGTCTATACTATCCAAAGCAATCTTTACATTGAATGCAATCTGTATCAAATAACTCTAGCATATTTCACAGGCCTAGAACAATTTCAAAATTTGTATGGAACCAAAAAAGACCCCAGATAGCCAAAGTAATATTGAAAATGAAAACCAAAGCTGGAGGCATCACAATTTCTGATTTCATGAAGCTGTATTACAAAGCTGTAGTCATCAATACAGTATGGTACTAGCATAAAAACAGATCAGTGAAACAGAGAACCCAGAAAGAGACCCACAGATGTATGTAAAACTAGTCTTTGATAAAGCAGGAAAGAATATCCAATGAAGAGACAGACTCTTCAGCAAATGGTGTTAGGAAAACTGGACAGCAACATGCAGAAGAATACACCTGGATCACTTTCTTGTACCATACACAAAAATAAATTAAAAATGGATGAAAGACCTAAATGTGAGACAGGAAACCATCAAAATCCTAGAGGAGAATACAGGCAGCAACCTCTTTGACGCTGGCCATAGCCACTTCTTACTAGATACATCACTGGAAGCACAGAAACAAAAGTGAAAATGAACTACTGGGACTTGAAGAAGATAAATAGGTCCTGCACAGCAAAGGTAACTATCAACAAAACTAAAAGGCAACCTAGGGTACGGGAGAAGATATTTCCAAATGACATATCTGATTGATAAAGGGTTAGTATCCAAATCTATAAAGAACTTATAAACTGCAATATTCCCAAAAAAACAATCCAGTTAAAAAACTGGCAGAGGACATGAATAGAATCTTCTCCAATGAAGACATCCCAATGGCTAACAGAAACACGAAAAGATGTTCAAAACCACTCATCAAGGAAATACAAATCAAAACTACAATGAGATACCACCTCACACCTGTCAGAATGGCTAAAATTAACACAAGAAAACAACGGATATAGGAGAAGATGCAGAGAAAGGGGAGCTCTCTTTCACTGATGGTTGGAATGCAAATTGGTGCAGCCACTCTAAAAGAGATGGAGGTTCCTCAAAAGTTAAAAATAGAATTACCCTATGATCCAGCAGTTGTACTACTAGGTATTTATGCAAAGAATACAAAAACACAGATTCTAAGGGGCATGTGCACCTCATATTTATAGCAACATTATCAATAATAGCCAAATTATAGAAGGAGACCAAATGTCCATCAATTGATAAATGGATAAAGATGACGTGTACACACACACACACACAAACACACACACACACACATACACAAAATGGAATATTAGTTATTAAAAATAATGAAATCTTGTCATTTGCAAATTCGTAGATGGAGGTAGAATGTGTTAAGTGAAATAATTCAGTTAGATAAATACCTTATGATTTCACTCATATGTGGAATTAGAAAAAAAAAAAAGAGATGCACATAGAAGAAGGAATAAAACAAAAGGAGGGATGCAATCCATTAGAGACTCTTAACTATAGAGAACAAACTGAGGGTTGCTGGAGGGTTGGAGGTGGATGGGGAGATGGGCTGAGTGATGGGCATTAAGGAGGACACTTGTGATGAGCACTAGGTGTTATCTGTGAGTGATGAATCACTAAATCCTACTACTGAAACCAATATTGCACTATATGTTAACTAACTAGAATTTAAATAAAACTTGAAACAAACAAACAAAAAGACTCCTGGAGTGGGAAGGCTTGCAGGGACTGAAGCAGCCCCAGTAGCAACCATCTTGTGCATTAAAAGATGAGGAAAGTAAATCACATTTTTAAATTTTTTTTAATGCTTATTCATTTTTGAGAGAGAGAGAGAGAGAGAGAGAGAGTGTGTGTGTGAGTGAGTGGGGGAAGGGCAGAGAGAGAAGGAAACACAGGATCTGAAGCAGGCTCCAGGCTCTGAGCTGTCAGCACAGAACCCGACGCAGGGCTCAAACCAACAAACCATGAGATTATGAGCTGAGCTGAAGTCAGACACTTAATCGACTGAGACACCCAGGCACCCCAGAAAGTAAATCACATTTTTAGATCAAGTATAGACACTGGAACTACAGGGCCACACCTATCCCACACACCCGACCTTGTCTGCCTCACCTTTTCTCCATCCTCCCAGTCTCCTCTCTCTTCCTACTTTTTCCTTCTAGAGACCAAATGCTTAGTGAGGTCAGTAAGACTAAGGGCTAAAAATGTCATGGGCTTGGGCATTTCAAAGAGAATTAATCACTTGCATAAAGTCTTTCATCAAACAGGACTTACCTTGAAGTTGAAGCCATGATATACTGGGAACACAGAGTGGTCTTTATGTGCAAAGTCAAAGAATCTGTAAGGCAACAAAAATTGATTTTTAAAAATTGTATCTTAAGTAGAAAGGCAACAGGACTTTCTAGACCATTTAAGGAAAACAAAAACAAAAACAAAAAGCATCTCTAGCTTAAGGTTCACCAGCAGAGTAAATGGACTGAGTATACAGGGACAGGGATGGTGTCTAGCCAACTGGTTAAGCAGAGGGAAAAACAACAAGATCTCCACCTCACACTTCACATCAAAATACATCGTAGGGCAGAGTTTCCCACCATCAGAATTATTGTCATGTTGGCTGAATGAGTCTTTGCTGTGGGGGGGGGCTGTCCTGTGTATTATGGGATGTTTAATAGCTCTCCAGCCCTCTATCCAATAGAAACCAGAATACCCATCCCTTATTTGTAGAAATCAAAAATGTTTCCAGATATTGTCAAGTGTCCCATAGGGTAAAAATTGCTCCTGGTGAACAACTATTATTCTATAGCAGGATTGCCAATGAAAGTTATTATAATAGTGGAAATGTTTTGTATCATTGGTACCTAATATGGTAGTCAGGAGCCACCTGTGATTATTAAACATCTGATATATGGCTTGTGACTGAGAAAGTGAATTTTTAATTTTATGTGATTCCAATTAATTTTAATGTAGATAGTCATATATGCCTAGCCAGCGGCCAGTGCATTTGACAGTGAAGTCCTAGATATGTAAAGAACTGACTATGAAACAAGATTCTCCTTAACAACCAATGAATTAAAGAAGAAATTAAAAAGAAAATTTAAATATATCTTGTTGGAGTGCATGGGTGGCTAAGTTGGTTAAGTGGTTTCAGCTCAAGTCATGACCTTATGGTTCATGAGATCAAACCCTGCATCGGGGTCTGGGAGTCTGCGCTGTCAACACAGAGCCTGCTTGGGATTCTTTCTCTCCCTCTCTCTCTACCCCTCCCCTGCTCATGCTTGCACGCTTGCACATGTGCTCTATCTCTCTCTCAAAAATAAGTAAATAAACATTAAAAAAAATTAAGGGGCACCTGGGTGCCTCAGTGGGTTGAGCATCCAACTTCAGCTCAGGCCATGATCTCGCAGTTCGTGAGTTCAAGCCCCACATCAGGCTCGCTACTGTCAGTGCAGAGCCCGCTTCAGATCCTCTGTCCCTCTCTCCTTCCATCCCTCTCCACTTGCACTCTCTCAAAAATAAATAAAATATTAAAAAAAATAAAAAGTATCTTGAAACAAATAAAAAAGAAACACAATATATCAAAACATATAGGATGCAGCAAATGATTTCTAGGAGAGAAGTTTATAGTTATAAACGCATACATTAAATAAACAGAAAGATCCAAAAAAAAAAAAAAACTTCATATCTTAGGAACTATAAAAAGAATAGATGAATGGATTAAAAATATGTGATACAATAGAATATTATTCACCCATAAAAAGAACAAAATCTTGGGCCCCAGGTTACAAATGCAGAGGAGTAGGGTGACCCTAAGTTTGTCTCCTTCCTCGACCACAACTAGATAAATATCAAATCATTATGAACACCCAAGAAACCAATCTGAGGACTGAGAGAACAAAGTTGCACATCTACAAGCAGAAAAAAGACCACCTTGAGGAAGGTATGAGGTGCAAAGAACTGATTTAAGAGAGAAAAGCACTGCAGGTGCTGCAAAGGACATGGAGCCCTGAATGTGGACAAAGAAGAGTTAAAGAGAATGAGAGAAAGAGTGAGAAAAAGAGTGAAAATGTGCAGGGGATTGAACAAGAAAACTCTTCCCCAAAACCACTGAGTGGCAAAAGGAAAGGGTTTTAATATTGGAGGTTTTATAAACAGCAGAGTGCAGAGTCTAAAGTTTCAGAGATCAGTGCCATCACCATGGTCATGCCTGGCAGCATTATCAGTGTTCTGGTGGGGAAGGATGGCAGACACCCAGGAGCAGGCAGATCCCCTGGATCAGACAGGAAGAAAGAGTTCCCCTGTCTGGGGTGCATTGGTAGAGGTGATATGGCCTCTCTGGGGGCAAAAGATCCTGCAGGAGCCATTGAACTGCCCTGTTCATCAGCAAAGGAACAAAGATACTGGCTGAGGACAGCAAACCTTGGTGCTGGCTTTGTGCTGTGATTTACCATAAACTCCAAACTGCTGTGCAGCCACATGACTGTTTTCTGGGACTGCCAGCACTGGCCACAGCACACAGCAAGACCCTCCCCCAGAGGATCAGCAGAAGTCTGCACCTCAGGGTGAGTTTTGAAACTCAGTCATGCCACAGATAAAACACAGAAGTGCTGTGCCTCCTGGTAGGCAGACAGTTCATACATAGGATGATGACGGGTATCTGACAGAAGCTTGGAACAAAGGAGGGGTGACTCTTTGATCATCTGTGAGGGCTTCCTAAGGAGCAGTATGCATGAGGTCCCTGATCCAGAGAAAAGAAAGCAGGGAAAAACCATTCTTCCCCCACCCTTCAACTCTGACCAACTTCAGGGAACAAAACAGCATCACCAAGTGGAAGCTGGAGCCGCTTACTGCAAGCCTCACCCCACTGTGCTCTGCAAGTACAACTTGACTAGGGGAAGTCCTCCTGAGAATCAGAGCAATCAGCTCCTACCCCAGAATATCAGCACAAATCCCTCACATGCACCAAGTCTACTGATAATAAAGTGCTACAAAGCTTCAGCTCTAGGGGAAACAGGATCTAGCTTCCTTTGGATTTATATATATGTATGTGTATATATGTGTGTGTATATACACACACATATATACACATACATATATATACATATGTATATATAAATACAGAGAAAGGAATTTTTGTTTATTCTTTTTCTATTTATTTTTATTGTTTATTTATTTATTATAAAAGAGAGACAAAATGTGCACGAGTGAGTAGGGGAGGGACTGACAGAGAAGGAGAGAATCCCAAGCAGGCTCTGCAATGTTAACACAGAGCCCAATGTGAGGTTCGATCTCACAAACTGTGAGATCATGACCTGAGCCAAAATCAAAAGTCAGACACTTAACTGGCTAAGCCACCCACACGCTATTTTATTTTTTAAATTATTATTTTATTCTATTTGTTTTATTTTTCTTTTTTATTTTGGATCAAGTGTCTCTTAACAAGGAGACCAAAACACACTGAAGATCTAGCCTGCTTTCTTCTCTATCTCTCTTTCTCCCTCATTTTTTTTTTTGACCTCCAAAGTGACAAGTAGAAATTCATCCCATCCCAAAAGAAAAAAATGGAAAAATTCATGGCCAGAGATTTAATTAACACAGATATAAGATGTCTGAACTAGAATTTGAAACAACAATTTTAAGGGTACTAGCTGATATTGAAAAAAGCATAGGGGCACCTGGGTGGCGCAGTCGGTTAAGCGTCCGACTTCAGCCAGGTCACGGTCTCGCGGTCCGTGAGTTCGAGCCCCGCGTCGGGCTCTGGGCTGATGGCTCAGAGCCTGGAGCCTGTTTCCGATTCTGTGTCTCCCTCTCTCTCTGCCCCTCCCCCGTTCATGCTCTGTCTCTCTCTGTCCCAAAAATAAATAAACGTTGAAAAAAAAAAAAAAAGAAAAAAGCATAGAAGACACTAAGGAATCCATTACTACAAAGACAAAAAAACTAAAAACTAGTCAGGCCAAAATTAAAAATGCTATAACCGAGATACAAACCTGAATGGATGCCATGACAGAGAGGACGCAGAGGTAAGAATCAGTGATACAGAATCTAAAATTATGGAAAGCAATGAAGCTGAAAAGAAGAGGAAAAGAAAGGTTTCAGATCACGAATGTAGACTTTAGGAACTCAGTGACTCCTTAAACTGTTATAACATTCAAAACATAAGAGTCCCAGAAGATGCAGAGAAAAAGGTAGAGGGTTATCTGAGTAAATTATAGCTGAAAACTTCCTTAATCTGGGGAATAAAACTGACATCACAATACCAAGAAGCACAGAGAACTCCCATTAAATTCAACAAAAGTTAGCCACCATGAAGACACATCATAGTCAAATATACAAAATAATACACACAAGGAAAAAATCCTGAAAGCACAGAGCAAAAAAATCCTTCGCCTATAAGGGAAAACATATCAGGTTCACAACAGATCTGTCCACAGAAACTTGACAGGAGAGAAGGGAATAGCATGATATATTCAACGTGCTGAATAGGAATCATATGCAACCAAGAATACTTTATTCAGAAAGGATGTTATTCAGAATAGAAGGAGAGATAAAGAGTTTCTCAGACCAGCAAAAACTAAAGGAGTTCATGACCATTAAACCAGCCCTGCAACAAATAGTAACAGGGACTCTTTGAGTGGGGAAAAAAAAAACCAAAACCAACAAGGATAGAAGGGAAAAGAGAACATCACCAGAAACACCAACTTTACATGTAACAAAATGGCACTAAATTTATATCTTTCAATAACCATTCTGAATGTAAATGGACTAAATATTCTAATCAAAAGACACAGGATGTCAGAACAGATTAAAAACAACAACAACAAGAAAAAACCAAGACCCCATCAATATGCCGCCTATAAGAGAGTCATTTTAACCTAAAGACAACTGTAGATTCAAAGTGAGGGGATGGAGAATCATCTATCATGCTAATGGCTGTCAAAAGAAAGCCACAGTACCCATACTTAGATCATACAAATTACATTTTAAATCAAAGACAGTAACAAGATGTTGGTGAGGATGCTGTGAAAGGGGAACCCTTTTGCACTCTTGGTGGAAATGCAAACTCTGGAAAACAGTATGGAGGTGCCTCAAACAATTAAAAACAGAACTACCCTACGACCCAGCAAATGCACTATGTATTTATCCAAGTATACAAAAATGCTGATTCAAAGGAGCACATGCTCCACAATGTTGATAGCAGCACTATCGACAACAGCCAAATTATGGAAAGAGCCCAAATGTCCATCAACTGATGAATGGATAAAGAAGATGTGGTATATATCAGGGCGACTGGGTG